TTTTTTTTTTTTTTTTTTGAACTACGCACAAGTGTGTTGATATAAAAGCGAGAGGATACTTTTATTAAAATCCACATAATATAATTGATAAACTTCATCTGAATTACTGTTTCGGAGCTCTTTGAACATCTATTTTAATATACGCTGTTTTTGATTTTCTCACCCTTAGCATATCAGCGTAGGAAATGACTTTTTCCATTCGGGTTCCGGGGCTTTGCGTTAACTTAAACAATTACTCATTTTCCGGAGCAACGTTGTTAAAAATGTAGAAGAGTTGCATTGCAGGTCTGCGAGTTCTGAACGTTTCGTATAAATCCTCAATAGCAATATAGAGTGGACATTTGCAATGACTTGATTCAAATCTCAACATTCAAGCAAGTGCAACCTCATTTCTCTTTTCCTTTTCATTATGCTAATTTTTTTATGTACATTTATTATTTTTTTGTTTATTTGACTTTTTGATTGATCTTTAAAAATAGTATTATTTGGGGGTGAGCTTAGAAAGCAATGAAATTTGATGAATACAAGAGTAATAAAATTATGCGCGTTGTATTGTTTCAACCAGAATTGGCTTCTTGGAAACAAAAAGCAATGCAAAGATTCTTAAAAAAAATCAAAATTGAACAAGAGGACCTCACAAAAGACTCACCAAGAGCAACAAATAACTGAAGAAAAAAGATGAATAAATATCAGCAGAAAAACGATATATATAATCCACTAAAATCCGCGGAGCAATGAACACACTGTCAAACTTATTATAGACTCGTCAACTGTACCCTGAATTTTCTTTGACAACTCGGTGTTTTTCTACCATTTAAATTCAATTTTATTTAATGACCTCAACACGATGATTTATTTCGTCATCTTTCGATATAATTCTTCTCCCCTATTGAAAAGTGAATGTAATAAAATGAAGTGGCTCTGGCCTTGTGAATTAATCACTAATGAAAAATTGCAAGTCCGTGTTGACACAAGTCGTGTTTGAACTCGATATATGTMCTTCAGCTGTTTGTTTTGCTCGTTTGAYGACTACTTTTGCTTATAATTAACTATTGGTCTAAGAAAAGCTGAAGCTTACGCTGAAGGAGGTTTCCGTGTGGACTCCAAAGTATACCATTCAATTTAGAAAATCTTTAACCGAATTGAAACATTTTATTTCGTTTATTTTCCGGTGGAGTGATTTCCAGTGGGCAGGTAAGTGTATTTCCTAAGTAGCTTTATAGCTTTATGGCCGACATTTCGGACAGTTTTTTTTTTGTATTTTTGATGTTCATTGAAAAGAAAAAGAATTACTATAAAGAATGTCACTTTTAAACTGTACAAACAATCTCAAAAGTGTTGCAAGAATTAAGTATTGAAGAAAGCTTTTTAAAGCTTTAAAAATCTTTTGTCCGTAAAAGAGGTTATTTTTCAAGCTGACAAGTGTGTGAATTATAGTCGATCATAAGTGCTCTATATATAGGATAACCATAAAATTGCTCATTCTTTCATTGGGCAAGATCTTTGAAACGAAGCTTTAAACGCTCTATCATGAAGATTAATACTTCATAATGTTTTTCTTAAAAAATTGAAATACTGAAACAACCATAACAACTAAACTTGGAACGACGTGTTCACACTTCTAAAAAGGAAAAAAATATCTTTCTCACTAATTGGGGACATTATTTATTCCTTTAGCGGCTTCCTTGTTGGTCTGACAGCAAATGTCTTAATAAATGCTTATCACAAAAACTAATACAATAAGTCCTGTTGTTTTTGATGTTGTATTCACTAGATTATCTCATTTTCAAGTCGTAGAGTGAAAAATTTAATTAATACTTCTTTCTAAATAGCAAATAACTTTTCTCATTATCTTACATCGAGCAGTTTCATTTGTTTTTTTTCATTTTTTCTATGACAAATTTTGAGAGATGACTAAGGCATGGGTTAAAACGCCGAACAAACTTTTTTCTATACCGAATTCAAGTTGTTTAGCGTGCGAAAGTCATTGTTTTTTTTTGTTGATTTGTTGATTTTTCTTTTTTTGTTTTTTATGTCATTTGCATTATGTAAAGGAGCGATTATTATGCAGTAATTCTCTTGCACTAAATTGCAGCTTTGAAAACTTTTAATTTTAAATCTTGTATCTGATATTTTGTGTTTTTGGAGGAACATAGTTTTTAACATAAACTAATTATATTTGACAGTAAACATTTTGCCATTCTCGAAAAGAATGGTAATAAAAAGAAATTTGAACACTAAGTTCCAGAGYTAATTGTATTTTACACAGAATCCGGCTGCGCGCTCTAATGACCTCTGATTGACTGATAGTATTTCAAAAATGAGTAACGRGAGCAGAAACAACAATAATAACAACAACCATGCAAACGACAACAACAGCGAAATAAGCTAAGCCTCAAAGATCCAATATGCACGTAAAGCAATTCTTCGAAGAGGACTATAGCAAAAGAAACAGTAGAGAAAGCATGTACAAACATCAGCCCCACCAAAAAAACAAAAAACAAAATAAGGTTTGAAACTCTAAAAGAAAAATATTTCAAGAGTGGAGAGAAAATCTTCATGGAGTCTATTATTTGCGGCAAAAATCAATGATTATGACTGACAGTCTAAAAACATAGAACAGCATTACCATCTAAGTGATCTTGTCTTTTTTTTTTCTTTTTTCTTTTTTTCTTCTTTAATCAATTTCTAGAGTGTATGTCAAGCTGTTCTTTGTATGCAATAATATATTTTKATTCTAACAAACATATCAATGGCAGTGTACATCCGTTTCCCAGCAGTGTTTGTAGGAAACAGGCTTTTGTGCAAGTATTAAGTTTCAGGAAATTAAAAAAAACGTTACAAGTAATGATGTTATTGTTAATCAATAACCGTACGGGTAAATTGACCAATCAGGKTCAAGCATTTTTTCAGCCAATCAAATTGATTGGGGGTTTTACCAATCGAGTTATGAGTTTAATAAACGGTCAAAAAATCATTTCATAACTGGTCATATATAGGAATATCTTAATTTAATTCTTTGACAAGCGACAAGCGTGTTTGAAATTTATCCCAATGTAGTAAACCGGACCGGGAGATTTAAAAAAAATGTAAGTATTGAATTTTTGGGTTTGTCTTTATTATTCGGAGYGTCTTCTTTGAGTGTATGATATACTTTTTTATTGCTAGGACAGTTGCTTTAATCCTAATTCATATAAAATATACTTTTAAAAGATATTGCATTTTTAAAAGATATTAAAATTGTAAATATTTTGGCATTTTTTAAAGAAGTATATAATATACATCACAACAAAATTAAACAACTTTGTCATTTTGAATGAAGGAAGGAAATGTTCTACCAAATGGAATTATATAGRAGTTATAATTTCACATTTTTAGTCAAAGTCATCATGCTGATTGATTCTATAAGGCGCTAAAACTAAAAATAGTTGCTTTTTACCCGTTATTTTTCTTGTTATTTGTACCTAATAATAAAACAAAAATCTATAGAGTGTTTCGAAAAAAGAATGAATTCAAGCTAGCATTTCACCGTTCTAGGGTAAAATGAAAATAWAAAGCAAAAGTAACTTTTGATGCCCAATTTACTCTCTTCCGTCACCTCGCGAGACTCTGTTGGAACTGTACGACTGGCAAAGTTTYTGAAAGGATTGAATGATATTAGCTAAAGTTATAATAAAGCTATTTTTAAAAATATGGAGTCCGCCGGCTGAAGGAATTTTGTCGAGAGAATTGCCAGTAAAGATCTAGAAAAGATGTCGAAATAAATTGAACGTGATTGTGTGTTGGTTAAGGCGTCAGTTTTTACGTTTATACATTAATTATAACAACCAAGTATAAGATTTAAGAGAGACTAAAGCAAATATAAAGTTACGTTTCTTTGAAGTGAGATCCGGTTCACATCATTCTTGTCATAAACAAATGRCATTAAATTTTAAAAGACATTTTGGAGATTTCCGAGGGGAATTTATAAAAAAAATAAAACGTTTAACCTGCGAAAACTGTGTTTTTTTGTCATATCGAGTTTTCTTATTTCGTCAATCAAACACCAAACTCCATATGTGGCGAATTCAATATAAATTTTTTTAGCTCAGTGATATGATTTACATTCTATTTTTGCTATAAATAAAATATATATATAGTATTTTTTAAAGCTTAACTGCTTTTTGCTCATTGGCATATCATAAAAAACAAAATTATGTTTTTCATTACAAGTCGGAAACATTTAAGCGCAAAAAGTTAAAAATATAAATTGGTTTTAAGTAAATAGTCTGTCTTGCCTGCAGTGCAAGTAAAATGGACAAAAATGCGAAATCACGAGTCAGCTATATAATAACATTCAATGTTCAAAACATTTCGACTCGTACTTTGTACCCTGATATATACTGTATTTGTCAATTGATTCATTCCTTATATACATTTAATGATTAAGTCCTTTAATCCACCTTTTTTCWTAGAATMTCAGCTACAAAACTGACTGAAATGCTGTCAGGGGCTGAAATTGCAATACGAACGGCCTTCTCGACTGTGACTCTCATCGGTGTTGTTGGCAACATYTTGGTTTGCCTGGTGATCCTYCTGAACAAGCCCATGCGAACACCCATGAACTACCTCCTCGTTAACCTTGCCATCTCAGACATGATACTCTTGGTTTTCTTCACACCAACATTCATTTTCAAAGGGGCATTTACTCACCCAACCGGTACAGCTGGAGATATCCTTTGCGTTTTCGTCACGGGAGAAAGCTTTGCGTGGATGGGTGGCTACGCGTCTGCGTCATTCCTTGTTGCTATAGCAATTGAGAGATATTTTGCCGTCACGAAGCCCCAGAATGACGTCAGCATCACTAGAAATTACCTCAAATTACTTGTGGCGTCATGCTGGTTTTTCTCCCTCGCTTGGAACTCGATTGGTTTTGCCGTAAAGCGATATAATGAGTCGTTYGGGTTCTGCTCCATGGAGTGGCCTGAGTCTTACTCGTTCAAGGTCTACAGCGCCCTTACTTACGTAGTATTGGGCGTGGYACCGATAAGCACAATGTGTGTGTTGTATTCAAAAGTCGTTCAGACGCTATGGTTCAAACGCGAGGTAGTACAAGTAAACAACCAAGAAGCAGAGAGRAATAAGCGTAAGAAGGTTACAAAGATGGCGCTCACCGTAAGCCTCATCTACGCACTTTCGTGGATCCCTGAGCTGACMATCTTTCTTCTCGTAGCGTACGCACCTCACTCTCTCGATCAAAACCTCGCCTACCCAGCSTCTGTTGCCCTGGTTTCGTTTAATTCGGCAGTGAATCCAATAATTTATGGATTTCACAATGAGCGCTTCAGGCGCCATCTGATCAACCTGGTGTGCTGTACGAGGTCGGCWTCRCGAGTAGCTCCTGTTGATACAAGATCACAGCAACCGACGACTGCCATGCTAAAAGACTGTTCCACTACTCGCAAAAAAAGTGCTCTTGCAATGCACAATCTCTCGTTTGACAAGAGTGTTGCTTGAAATACTGACATGCTGTGCTTTGTTACGCAGTGGACAGCAGTTTACAAAATKAAAAGTGCAAACACTGATTTAAAAGGGTAATATTTTGTACTTAACAACATTTCATTGCTGCAACTGTCTTATAAGCTGTATTCAGTATGGATATGTATCAAAGTCTTGGAAGACCGTCAACTGTTTCAAGCTAACTAAGTCTTTTAATGGGACAGAAGCGAAAGAGAGGGAGTTTTGAAAGCACGCTCACCGTTAGAAGAAAATACATCAGTGTCTTTTGATATTGTGTCAAGACGCTAGGAAGAACTCTCCGAATGTGCAACAAATTGAAATCAAATTAAATTAAAAAGAAAACATAATAATTTATAGCTAAAATGCGCAAATACTGACAATCATGACGATTTATTATCTTTGAAATCACAAAGAGAACTTTATGTTAAGTGATAAGAGAACAAATTTTAATCAAATTGTTTGTTTAGATTTGACGTTATCCGCCAAGTAATGAATATCTCAATCATCCTCACTGTTAARATCAGTAAACATTGTTTAATTATACAATACGGAAACAGTCATTACCGAATTGACAACTTCCCTCAAAAACGTACTTGGTGTCTACTACACAAGTCAGAGAGGTTCTGTGGTTTTGGCATCTGCGGATGCAGGGCTTGTTTTCCTTGACGGGCGCAGCCATTTTCAAACGGCGATTGCACGATCGAAAGTAGCCATGGGTCAATTTCTATATGCATTTTGAATCCAATAAGTGAGATTTTGTTTGTCAAAACAGTGTAACCATAGTCCCTTTCGGTCGTTCAATCTCCCTTCGACAACCACACCGTCTCCCCGACAACATTTTTTTGAAATAATATCTAACATTATAATGTTCTTCTTGTAAAATATGTAAATGATGTAACATTGAAAATCTTATTAATGTATTAAGTGAATCATAAAACATTATTAAATAAAATACGAGTGCCGGTTATTCTTGCGTCAATACGAGAAACTTTTCATTGATTTGCGTACAAGAGTTCCAGGATCAGTTATCAATTTTCTGACGACAAGATGTCGCGCTTCCAGGTGCAGTTGTCACTATAGATTCTATGTTTGTAAAAAACACAGTCATGCCATTACAAATGTGAAAAAATTGAAAAAAAATACATTTACATTTGTACTAGTAAGTTCCTTTTAGTAACAGGATAGTGAAACAATGCAGTTTTTATAAATTCAGTTCAGTAATATTTCCTATAACTGGGGATATCTTGACAGCAAATGAGCTAAGAAAAGTGTCTTTTTTATGTTAGATATGTGCTTTTTGTGTTCTTTGGTATAGCAATATTTTGGGAGGTTCTTTTATTGTTGTAGTTTTTCAACACTACAGATATGCCGTTTTCAATGATACAGAGATATGATATTCCATGAATATTACATGGCTCAGGTATTTCGGAGAACAATGCGTCCGCCATCTTGAAAAGTAAGACCCGAATCACTATATATGTTGTGCCTTATATTAAAACGCATTTCGTAATTTCAAGTCAACTAATTTATCATTATATCGTGTTATATTAACTTGACATTAGCTTAGAACCTTTTAATTTCTTTAGCACTCAATTATATTTAGTCAATTTAGTAATTCGAGTCCCACTTCAAGATGGTGGACGCATCGCTCTCCAAAACTCTTCATGCATGTATGTTAAACTCTTCATAAGCGAGTGTCAAMGCCCTCATTTTCTTGAAACTGAGTCACGCTGTTCATGGACAGGACGTTGCTTGGTCGCAATTCGTCTTTTCCTTTGGTACAACAGCAAACTAACTTCTTTAAAAAGTAACGAAAACGTTCACCATGAAGAGTATATATTATGGGATTAACTGCAGAGTTTAACGTCACCATGGCAACACTCGCTGGATAAATTACAGTGCTATCCATAAGGCTTGGTGCATAAGCTGCCACCACAAAGATCGTAAGCTCCGGTACCCATGACAACGTGTATATAACGCTGACCGTTAAGACCATTTTGGTCGCCTTCATTCGTCGTTTTCGTTCAGATTCGAGATTATTGACTTGCGTGACTTCTCGATTTACCCATAATGCATAGACAACCCTGGAGTATAGCACGCTCATTGTAGTTATTGGAATAATCCCGAGCACAATGAGAGACAAGAGCGCATACACTTTAAACGAGTACTCCGCTGGCCATTCGSTGGCGCAGAATTCTAAAGATGGGTCATAACGCTTTACTGCSAAACCAATGGAATTCCAMGCAATTGAGAAAATCCARCAAGAAACAACWARTATTTTTAGYTTGTTTCGCGTTATACTRTAGCCATGAACGTAYGGCTTTGTCACGGCATAATGTCGTTCGATTGCAATGGCAACAAGAAAATAAGAGGATGCATAGCCACCCACCCAAGCAAAGCTCTCTCCAGTTAAAAAYACGCAAAGAATATCCCCCGTTTGGCCAGCAGGGTGCGTGTAAGCATCTCTGAAGATGAATGTAGGGGTGAAGAAAACCAGTAACATCATGTCTGAGATGGCAAGGTTAACGAGAAGGTAGTTCATGGGTGTTCGCATGGGTTTGTTGAGAAGGACGACGAGACAAACCAAGATATTTCCAACGATACCAGTGACGGTGACAAGCGAGAATGCTGTCCTGACAGCGATGTGGACGGTAACGTTCATGAYGGTCGTGCAGTGAAGACAGTCGTTAGGCGCTGGTTACTTCTACGCAGTCACTAAACACAGAATAAATAAACCAGGTTAATTTATGGCTGTACGTTAATCCAGGCCTAATACCTTCAGTAACAAGCCCGCGGGCTGGGGGGTTGAAAGGTCCGGTGTTTCTCTTTTTTTTTATTGTTCTATTTTCAAATTCTTTTGTCATGAACTGTTTTTGAGATTATTTTGTTATGAACTGCTCATTCTAGCAGCCAGTTCTTACACACTATATCTGTGCATGGAACAAATTTAGTTCAACATTTAATTTAGGTCCGCATAATGAAAAAACGAACCCCCCCCCCCCCCCCCCCCCCCCCCCCCCCCCCCCCAATTGTAAGGCAGCCAACGGGCCTGAGTAATAAGCTTGCTGGTGGT